ATTGGCACCAGATGGACTATTTAAAAGGTGCCTTTTGCCTGTGCTGACCGCTGACTGGTCTTCAGCTGTTCCCCGTTTCCTGCTCGTTCCTGTGCGATTTCCTTGTTGCTGACCCGGCTTGTTCCTGACCTGACTCGGATTACTCTCCTGCTTTATACTTGTTCCTGACTTCGGCTCTGCTCCTGACTTTGGCTTGCTTATAATGTGGTACCTCGCTGTCCGCCCGTTGACCCCAGGTATTCCTATGACATTGCTCCGGTCTCCCATTCCAGCTTCCTGCCTTGCTCTGGTGCACATCTGGCGATCTACCATACCAGCTCTACATATCCCTACTGTTCCTGAATCGGAGGTTCATCAGTCTTCCAAAGTCTCCAGCTGTATGAACTGCAAACAACATCTGCTGGCGCTCGTCCCCCTGGTCCCTAGACACCCTCTGTTCCACTTCCAGTGGGGTCAGGGCTAGTGACACAAGTGAGGCTGACCTAGTCACTTCAGTCTCCAATCATGTACGTGACAGCACTGCTTAAGCAGCTTGAGCCCTTTTCTTTTTTAGACGATTCTTAAAAAGTTTGCAGAGGAGCCTGGGACCTTTTTACCGCCCTGCACAGAGCTTTTAAACTTCATCATCCTTATGATTACAGGGAATATCACTGACTCCAGAGATTACAGTAGGCTTGGGCATTGCACTATCTGAGCGGATTGTTCAGATTCAGATACTTCTATTCAGAGAGGTCTTATTCCTCTCCTGGGAGGGTTGTGTTTTTCCTGGGGCTGCTGCCCCTAGGAGACAGCCGGTGTGTGTTCTGAAGAGGAGTTGTTGGGCCTCTGCAAGCACTGGGCTCAGGGCCAGAAAAAGATGTGACCAAACAGTGCATCACTTGTGGAATTGGTCTATAGAAAGATCTATTCTCCCTCATTGCAGTGTTGTAGAAGTTGGAATGAGCGACAGCTGCCCTAGGACATTGTAAGTGAAGACCTTGATCTGGGATCTCAGGTGTGCATGTGCTTGAGGATGTAAGCGCTAGAGGTTGCCGCGAAGACTAGGGCTGCTTGCATCAAGTCCTAAATAAACTGGTCATTGCTCCTACCCTCAGCAAAGGCTGCTACTAATGGTTTTTTTTGCTGAGACTATTCTCCTGTTTGTTGTCAGAATTTTGAAGCGTCCTGCACCCTTATCCCTCTACTGTTCAAGTTTTCTGCAATAAATCCACAAAAAGATATCCCCACGGACTGAGCCTAACAAGTCAGCGTGCTTGGAACGGTGTCTCTGGCTGGCATACTCTGTACTACTCTGGGAGAATCTGTGCATTTCCAGCTGCCCCTTTGGGGAGCAAAATGGAAGTTGAAAAAGGAAATGTTTACAGACAATATGTTTCAGTAACAAAACAAGAAACAAAAGATGTGTAAATACAAACCTGTTTTGTTCTATACACCATTCTACAACTTCCACTTGAAACAAGAGAGCATCACAAAATTCTTTTAATATGCAATCATTGCATATTTCCTAAAAATGACACAAATTGATTGAGAAGAAATTAGGATTGTATATCATATCATGAAATCTGGTTCAATTGCATTGCATTTGTGAGCAAACCTGTGATCGGAATATCTGAAAATGCTATTACTATTATTATCAAATTAGGCATAGCTACTGACGTGAACTTTCACTGTATTGTTAATTTAAGCACAAGAGACTCCATTTTGCTTTCAATGTCAAAATGTGCCCTGTGTCCTTCACTTAAGACACAGATGCAACAGAACTAGATCTTCTCTCCTTTCTCCCCTTCCCTTCTTGAGGTTTTAGTTTCGAGAATGTTAGGCATAGTCTATGACATGAAATGTGACATTCTATTTGCTAATGTTTAATAACATATCACACCACCCCCTTTTTATCTTCTGCATAAAATAAAATGTAATACATTTTGTCAGAATGGATACTTTATACCACAGTGATGGTGTCTTGTGCATCTGTTCCTGCAATTGCAGTGTTAAAAACTTAATTTTCAGTGTCTCAGCAAGAAATCTTCCATATACAGTTTGCGGCAAGCAAGTTGTAGTCTACAAAAGGAACCACGCTCTGATCAGGACCATCGGGGACACAGACCTCCAAATGCCGGCTACGTAAGCTGTCCTTAAAGCGGAGTTCCAGCTGAAAATAAAAATACAAGTCAGCAGCTACAAAACCTGTAGCTGCTAACTTTAAAATACAGCCACTTACCTGTCCTTTGGTCCAGCAGTGTCCTCACCACTGCTGGTTTCACAGGCCATCTTCTCTTCCTGGCGCCAGCATCTTTAGTGTGGGCACTTTACAGCCGGGTGCCCACTGCGCATGCGCGAGAAGCGCTGCGCTTTGTGAATGACCTGTCACGTGTCCAAGAAGACTACGGGAAGGGCAACTTCCACTTTCGATCGCCTAGGCGATCACAGCAGAAGTGGGAGCGGGTACCTGTCAAATTTGGGTACCTGCTCCCCAAAAGTGCCAATCCTCAATGGGGAGCGGGGGAGAAAGCATTAAAGCCGAACTTCCCCTTTTGGGTGGAGCTCCCCTTTAAAGCTTGCTTGCCTTTCCTTTGTGTCCTATCTGTTGGTTCTCAAGGAAACCAGACCCACTCTCAGACCTTTGTGGCTGGGTAACGTGCGAGTGTTTTTGTGTCCCCTTTCACAGGTTGGACCGTGTGTGGATAGGGAAATTGCTCTACCTTTCTCTACGTTGACTCCTTGTGGGCAGTCTGAGTCAGAGGAGCATGGTAGGGTAAGAGTAAAAACCATGGAGAAGAGGGTCTCTTAGTGAGTGTTTTGCCTATTGTGACAAACCCTTCTATCCACGTAGATAAGTGGAGACTACTCTTGTAAATCTGCAGGTTCGCTGTACTATTTGTTTTAGCATCAAGAGTGTATAGGCACAGAGTAGACAGGAGTAGAGAAGAGAATAGGCTGGCCAGTCATTATGGGCATTCAAGCACCCAAGTAAGGGAAAGAATGGTAAAAGGGTACCTTCAGAAAATGCCCAGCGCAAGATGACTGCTAGAGAAGATATGAACAGAAGGTATGGCTCCGCCTATACTGAGACCCTAGATAAAGGAGTAGAATGGACAAAAGGAACAGTGAAACTTAAAATCTGAAGGGACTTTTGAGTTACAAGCATGGCAAACTTTTCTGCATGATTATAGCCCCCAACTGTGCAGTGAAGGTACATGGAGAATAGATTACACATGGGAGACAGAAGCTAAATTAGCAAATGAGACTGGTCTGTAGAGGGATGTTTAATAAATGTTAGGCCCAAATGTATTATGTCTGGCAAGAAGACTCTGTAGAGGATGACCCCCTCACCTTATGTGGCTGCCAGTTTGGCTTTAAAAGCACAAGAACCAGATTACATGAAACACACAAAAGATCACCTATGCAATATAGCACAGAACAGAGGTTTTTTTAGCCCATATCAACCAACTAAAAGGGATTTGGCTAATATCTTAGAAACAGATGAGTGGCATAAATCAAAAGATACATAGGAAAAACTAGTTCCCTCTGAACTTAAAGCTTTGGCCAAACAAAGATACAGAGCCTGAACTTTCGGGGCAAACCATAATTGGTAAACTGTGGCAGCAAGATGAAGGCACCCCTTCTGCCCCTGTCACAGAATATTCTGTTGCAATACTTTGTCAGAACCCAATTAGTTTTTGAAGGAAATAAGTCTCAAAATAAATGGCATTTAACTTTTAGTTCCCTAGAAAGAATCCCATTGGGTTTGCAAAGAAACAGTGCTGCACAGTAAGCATATGAGGCTTCTGCTACCGACATTAATCAGATTCTTATTAAAGCAGTGGGAAGCAACATGTCGGTGTATATACAGTGGGGATCGAAAGTTTGGGCACCCCAGCTAAAAATTTGTATTAATGTGCATAAAGAAGCCAAGGAAAGATGGAAAAATCTACAAAAGGCATCAAATTACAGATTAGACATTCTTATAATACGTCAACAAAAGTTAGATTTTATTTCCATCATTTACACTTTCAAAATAACAGAAAACAAAAAAATGGCGTCTGCAAAAGTTTGGGCACCCTGCAGAGTTAATATCTTGTACTGCCCCCTTTGGCAAGTATCACAGCTTGTAAACACTTTTTGTAGCCAGCCAAGAGTCTTTCAATTCTTGTTTGAGGTATCTTTGCCCATTCTTCCTTACAAAAGTCTTCCAGTTCTTTGAGATTTCTGGGCTGTCTGTCACGCACTGCTCTTTTAAAGTCTATCCATAGATTTTCAATTATGTTGAGGTCAGGAGATTGTGAAAGCCATGGCAAAACCTTCAGTTTACGCCGTTGCCGAGGCAACCTAGCCGCGTCCCTCTTGATTTTCAAAACTCTCGCACAGGAAGTAGCCTCTCTCTCTGTTCCTGGACATGCGGCTGGAACCATCTTGCTCCCAGAAAGATGCTGGGAGGTTCGGGTGAGGGGGACCGAGCCTCCCCAGCCATCCCCCCTGCGCACTCTGCAGACCCCAAAAGGTCAGGACTGTAGCCCTCTACAATACCCCTGGGTTGGGAGTCTCCACAGCTCTGCATGAGCCTTCTCCTCAAAGGTCAGACCCCACAGCTGAGACCATGCCAGTCTGTAAGCCTGTCTACTGAGCACCCTTGCACCGTCTGCTGCTGAGTGCCCTGGGAGCTGCTGCTGAGGGAGCCTGCACACTGTCCGTGGCTGCGTGTTCCTGGAGGCTGTCTGCTGCTGAGTGCCCTGGGAGCTGCTGCTGTCTGCTGATCACTGGTTGTCCCTAGAACGCTGACCGCTGGTCGTCCCTGTCTGGAGCCGCCTGCCGCTGGGGGTCTGCAAGCTGCTTACCGTGAGTGTCCTAAACTGTCCCTGTTGTGCGCACTGACCACCCGTGTCCTGAACTGTTCCTGTTGTGTGCACTGACCACCCGTGTCCTGAACTGTCCCTGTTGTGCACACTGACCACCTGTGTTCTGAACTGTCCCCGGTGTGTGCACCGACCACTCGTGTCCTGAACTGTCTCTGCTGTGTGTGCACTGACCACCTGTGTCCTGAACTGTCCCCGCTGTGTGCACCGACCATCTGTGTCCTGAACCGTCCCTGTTGTGCGCACTGACCACCTGTGTCCTAAACTGTGCCTGCTGTGTGCACTGACCACCCGTGTTCTGAACTGTCCCCAGTGTGTGCACCGACCACTCATGTCCGAACTGACCCGCTGTGTGTGCACTGACCACCCGTGTCCTGATGGCATGCCCGGAGTATAGCTACCTGTGGTGCCCCTGAGTGCTTGAGCCATCACTACCCGTTGAGTCCCCGTGAACCCAGTGACCCTAGAAAGCTGGGTGGGAGCTGTGCTGTGGTCAGTCTCCACAGCTAGAGTCCCGTTGAGCCCCCGAGGTCCCTGCCCAGTGGTAGGTTGCCGTCTGTTGCCCGAGGCCCCTGCCCAGTGGTAGATTGCCGCCTGTGGCCCGAGACCCCTGCCCAGGGGTAGGTTGCCGCCTGTTGTCCGAGCCCCTGCCCAGGGGTAGGTTGCCGCCTGTTGCCCGAGGCCCCTGCCCAGTGGTATGTTGCCGCCTGTTCCCCGAGGCCCCTGCCCAGTGGTAGGTTGCCACCTGTTGCCTGAGTCCCCAATCCGCTGTCCAGTCACGGAGGGAGCTCGGCTGAGGCCCCAAGCCTAGGGGGGAGATTGCCTGCCTGTCGCTGAAGACCCCCCCGTGCCTGGAATCGTCCCTGGTTTGTGCACACATCACCCTCCCTGCCATTTCCTTATTGAGTGTCTGTCAATTTGTTGCTTCAATAAAGTCTTGTTTGTTACCCATCTTCTCCGTGTGCTCTGTCCTGCCTACGCTTCCGTTACAGAGGCATTGATCCTTGGCTCCAGAGACACCCCTTGCTGGGGGACTACAAATTAGGCTGTCAGACCTAAGAAAAAGTTGAAGAATTCTCCCTTTTAACATCAGAATCAATTTGGGAGACGGTGCCCTTTTGCTCTGAAACTTGATCTGCTTAACCCAGGACTTTTTGGCAAGTACTTATCTACCTAACTTTCTGTTATCTTTTTGCTGTGCTGTTGTTCTCTGTATATTTATATATATTGGTTACATCTTTTTTCTGTAAATAATTTTATTGCACCCTTTTGACCTTTTAGTAATAAATCCTACTTTCTGAAAGTGTTGAACTTTTTCTACAGCTCTTTATTGCAACTTACGAATTCCTGCCTCTAAAAGAGCGCTACTGTGTGTGTTTAACCCTCTGTATAACCCCTTTGCGGTGACAGTGCTATACAGACGATCTCAACCATCATAGTATTATTGCTGATATTGCAGAGTTTCCTCCCTGTACAAAAAGGAGGTGGTGGCAGTGTGAAGGGTTAATTGCATAATTAACCTGGCCCAATAACAATCGCACCCAGGCTGCCGGTACATCGATTTGTGGTCCATTAGCTGGAAAATCGTTGTGCAGGGTGCAGCTTGGCGTGGCATTGTTATGCATGTGACATCTCAGTTTTAGATTGGCTAGTCCTTCGGTCACGAGTTTGGTGAGAAGGGCTGGGGTCTGACACGTGATCGTCACAATTAGAACTAGACATTCCCAATTATTTGAGATAAGTGTGAAAATGTTTGACATTGGAAAATAGAATGTATGACATTCATTAGGAAATGCATTAGTTGTCTGATCATTTTGGAGAAACAGCAACCCCAAAAAAAAAAAAAAAAATAAAATATAGGTGTGCTTTTTATTTTAAATTATAAGTATTCTCATATGCAAACAGAAAAACGCCAACAGGACAAAGTCCGCGGCTGTGCGCCACCTAGTGAACATATCCGGCACTGCATCTAGAAATGTGCTAGGCGTGATTCTGGATTTACTAACAGGAAAAGGGTCTACAAAGTAGATGCTTTTCAATGAGTTTGCTAGACGCCTTTCTGAAGACTGACAGGTCTTGATTGATTAAATTGAGTCTGCCTGAATGTTAAGCGTCTGCTGGTAGACTCAATTCTTAGTAAATCAGGGCCCGAGTCAAATTTTAGCAAACAGACTACACTCCTACAACAGTCCAAGTGGTCAGTAGGCTGTTGGGAGATGTTTAAATTCTTCCTGTGGCGTATTTTTAATAGACTCTATGCCGCCTTTTCCACCAGAATTGGAAGGGATTCCCACCAAGTTATGGGCCACCAGCAAATATGATGTAGGGCCGCTGGACTGCACCCCAGTTACAATAAAAACCAAACCAGGAGCCCATCTCCCACAGATTAAACAGTATTCACTGAGCATTGCTCAGACTGAGGGTATAAATAATGAAATCACTCAAATGAAAGCAGTCCCAAGTCAATACATCCCTATTCCTAATCAAAGAAACAGGATAAGAAAGGTGGGCAAGTGACATAAGGCATGGTGCATGATCTGAAAGCCATTAACAATATAATTGAGGCAGACACCCCTGTGGTGCCCAACCCCTGCACTTTACTAAGTAGAATACCTGCCTCCAGCACCTGCTTTACAGTGATTGATCTTGCAAATGCATTTTTCTCAGTGCCCCTTCACCCAGAGTGTTGGCACCTTTTTTCATTCACCCACAACAGCCAAAAGTTAGGAAGGACCAGATTGCCACAAGGGTGAGTGAGCAGCCCTTCTTAATATAATACTGCGTTAAAGCAAGTATTGGACCTCTAGTCCCCCTCACACACAGTTTTTCTTCAGTACATAGACGATTTGCTTGTTTGTTCTGATACAAAGAACATATGTAGCAGAGAAACAGTAAGCCTTCTCATGTTTCTCTACAACAGTAAGAACAAAGTTGTAAGTAAGCTACAATACTGCCAAGACAAATTGATATTCCTGGACCACTGCATTTCACAGGGAATCTGTCACCAAACCCCAGATCGAGTGAATACTCTGCATAAATTTGAAAAGCCAAGAAAAAGTATGGCAATTACGTGCCTTCCTGGGGTTAGTGGGATATTGTAGGGATTGGATTCCAAATGCATCATAACTCTTCATGATGCTACCACGACAAACCCTTTCAAACTCACATGGGACAATGAATTGCAGATGAAGGAGCTTATTAAAATTCTATCAGAAGCTCCTACCCTAGGAATTCCTGACTATACTAAGAGCTTTTCATTGCTTTATCATGAAGTCAATGGATTTGCTGCAGGTGTACTCACTCGGCTACATGGAGACAAACAGATGCCTGTGATGTATCAGCCTCATTAGACCCGGTCATCAAAGGCTCCCTCAGCTGTATTCGAGCCATTGCAGCCTGCACTTTGCTGCTAGAAAAAGTAACTCAGCGTGTACTAGACTCTGCTCTAACCCTGTATGTGCCACATGCAGTACAGGAAATCCTAAATCAAGTAAACACCAGTCATGTGTCTGCAAGTAGATTTGACAAGTACCAATCTGCTCTTAGTGCTCCATCAAATTTAACAATCAATGAGTTACTTTAAATCCAGCTTCTCGTCTTCCTAGAACGTATGAGGAAGATGCAACAAATGGTACCGATGCAGAATCAGAGTTTTTCTCGTGGCTGTATGGCTTTGATGGAGGTAGAAAGATCATCTGTCACACCAGCAAAAGATGATCCTTTATCAGATTGGGACACACACCTATTTGTAGATGGTTCCAGATTTTACAAGGATGATGGTCAGCCACACATTGGATTTGCTGTAACCACTGTTGACACCATTTTACATAAGGAAGCATTGACACACCAGATGTCAGCACAGGAGCAGGGGCGGACAGACAACTCATGGGGCCCCCCTGGCAATAGGAAGTCATGGGGCCCCTGTGTCCTTGCCCACACTCAAACCACAACCAAAAAAGCCTATGAAAGGTACCAGGGGCATCTCATGGGGCCCACTACTGACCCCGGGCTCTCGGGCAGTGCTAGAGTGCCTAAATGGTCAGTTCGCCCCTGCACAGGAGGCCGCATTGTGTGCAGTAATCAAAGCATGTCAACTCCTAAACAATCAAAGGGGAAATATTTACACGGATAGCAGATATGTTTTTGGAATTTCTCATGATTTTGGGCCCATTTGGAAAGCATGACTATGGAATATGCAAAACCTATAGCATGCCTATTTGAGGCCTTTCAGAAACAAGCAGAAGTTGCAATCTTGAAAGTAAAAGGACATGCAAGGGGAAATTACTTGACAACCAATGGAAATTCTCTAGCAGACCAAGCAGCAAAGTATTTTATTGGGATTAGTATAGACCAACACAAATTGGCACATAATTGTGAAGTGGAAGAAAAATGATAAATGGTTTTCAAACATTTTTACAAATAAATATCTTAACAGTGTGGCGTGCATTTATATTCAGCCCCCCTGAGTCAATACATTGTAGAACCACCTTTCGCTGCAAGTCTTTTTTGGGTATGTCTCTACCAGCTTCACACATCTAGAGTGAAATTTTTGCCCATTATGCAAAATAGCACCAGCTCTGTCAGTTTGGATGGAGAGTGTCTGAACAACAATTTTCAAGTCTTGCCACAGATTCTCAGTTGGATTTAGGTCTGGACTTTGATTGGACCAGTCTAACACATGAATATGATTTGATCTCAACCATTCCATTGTAGCTCTGGCTGTATGTTTAGGGTCGTTGTCCTGCTGAAAGGTGAACCTCCGCCCCAGTCTCAAGTATAATGCACACTCTTAGCAAGTTTTCTTCTAAGATTATCCTGTATTTGGATCCATCCATCTTCACATTAACTTTGACCAGCTTCCCTGTCCTTGCTAAAGAAAAGTATCAATAGGAAGAAGGGTCAGTCGTACACCGGAGGATAGATGAATATAGTGTGTATTCATTGATCCATAGGACACACAAAACACCAGGACATGAATACAGGACCTGTTAACGCGTTTCACACAATCTCGTGCTTAAATAACAAAGAAAACAAAAATGCTGTTTTATATAGGTATTCATTAATAAAGAACACCTGTCCTAATCAACACTCCTGAATCCTGAGGGTACACCTACTAATACATTGTAACAAGACATAAAACTAAATCATAATAAATTCGGTATCCAAAAATTACAATAAATCAAATAATCCAGTGTGACACTCCAAAAAGTCCCACGTTCACCCCTGAAAGTGAAATTATATATAAAAGCCTTTTTTGTGTCAAAATCCAAAGTCCAAAATAAAGTCCAAATAAATTCCAAATCAATTATTCCTCCATGTTCAACTTCAATGTCCCCATATATCCAGATAAGTTGTGTACCTCAAAAAACAGAAAAACTAAATAGTGTATTACCTCCAATATAATTAATAGGTATATACTTTAATTATTCGTAAAGTATATACCTATTGATTTATTGATCAAAAATATGTGCAAAAAAAAAAAAAAAAAAAAAAGATTCAAACCGTGAGCAACATGTGAATCATAAAATCAC